CATTTATTTTGCGGCAAAGACGCAACTCCTTTAGGAGCATGGCTCGTACGCCAGTTTTCGAAGTCTTTTTAAAATCTAATTACGTGAGCACTCCCTAGTTCCCACGAGAGACATACTATTGGACAAAGACGAGAGATCCGGAAAGAATGTCCTTTTTCGTTGACATTTGCATATAGTTAAACATTTAATTCGAAAATGCTCCCTAGACTACGTGCTGGCACATTGCGTCGAATCTGCCTAAATGTTTAATACAGCTAATTTGCAGCTGAGTGATAATGAGAATTGCCTATGCCTATTATCGGCCGCATAGAGAGATCGAGTTAGCGAGTCTTCGATAAATCAAAATGCCCCGGGACTTGTACCAGTGGACTTCACAGAATCTAATTCGTTAGTATTTTATGGGTCTGTGTTCCATGACCTCGGTATTGGTCGTTTTTTGATCTTCTCATCTGAACTCAGTGCCATTTAGCAGGGTTGATTCGAGGTTTAAAACCCAATCTCAACTATTCAGTAGGACATAAAGGAAATCCCTGTCGGGTTTTGCAATTTTTGCTTCCTTTTGGCTGATCTCTTCGATATCGGCAAGATGAGGTCTCATGCTGTGTAGGATTGTCAGCGGTGGCGTTATAAGCTTTCGATGGAAATAATTCACAAACATGGGCCCAGAGTACTCGGTCTTGTTCAGTGTCGTAAGCACAAGGTCTGCCTCAGCAGACTCTCAAACTAAACTTCTACCTATGTTTGCTCCTTGATCAATGAAACATAATTTGTCATCTGATAATATTTATTTGTTCTCTGATTTTTGGAGCGAAAACTCGATAAAATGACGTACTTTCTTACCGCTGCAAAGCAGTTTTATTTGAAAATAATCTTCATACATTTCTATCGACTTTGTGTTCATTGTCTCAACATAGTCCTACTCACATACTTTTGCACCGGATTACATTGTCAAGACACAAAATAATTCTTAAATGACACCCTTTTCCTGTCAACATGTTCTCTAATCAAGTCATTATCGGTCTCTCCTGATTGAAAAGTCCGAACAATTATCAGTTCAATTTGGTCATTTTTTATCTTTTGACTTTTTGTCTATGTGTAACGGTGAAATCGAGGGTCTGAGAGACGGGTGAACAATGTCTAGTGCAATGTAACTCGCCATTTTAGCATGCGATCGGGCTACCGGATGTTGTTACTTCCGAAATTTCTGCTGTTCTGTTTTCTCCATCGTGTGTTGATCAACTAACATATTTGAGTGAGAGAAAAAAAGACGTCGACACAGTCTAACAGAATGATGGTTTTTATTGTCATAGGAACTCCAACTTGAATTGGAATGCAGAGCTGGTCGAATACTTGGAATTTAATCGACGTTAATGAGAAGTATGCCGTTTGGCTCAACAGATCATGAATGATGACACAGGTTGATCAAAAGTGATTGGTCTGATAAAAGACGATCGGGTGCTGTATTAATTGTACTTTGGATTTGGAGTCGTTGCTTTGAATTCCGCAGTGCTAGTGACATTGAACACCGATCTAAGTTATCTGGAAGTCGTCGGCACGTCTTTACTTCCGTGAGTATGTTGGTTGAATCAATCATTATGGGGGAGGGGACGAGGTTGCGAATTTTGTGAGAATACATTCAGACTGTCAACCAACCTAACTGCGCCTGAGTAATCGATTTGAGACGGCCAGTTGCGTGGGTGCATTGCAAACTTTATAATCCTGAAAACTAAATCTCGGACGAGACGCATTCGTCCTCAGATGGAAAAGCCAATAAATACTGTTTGCATGCACAGAGTCCCAAACTGGCAGTGTAATAGAACGTTGAAAATGTCTTGCAACTTGACTGGTTTGTATTTATCCTCGAAATTCGGCTGTCAGAAAGGGGTATATTGAGACGTGCTCACGAAAATTTGAAAGACACCCAGAGAGAAGAAGAGGCGTTCACCGGGAGGGGTTTATTGGAGGTCCGACGTTCCGACTAGTTGATTCGTCTACCCATCTTTAGAAACTGGAAAGCCCTGCGCATAGTTCCCCTTATATGGCGCACTTTGTTTAATGCGTGACCCGCCAATACCGCCTGTGTTGCTGCATCCAACCCGCATGTCACCGTGACCTGAATCGCCCTCGTCGGCCGCGGAGATGACTGGCGACCCCGATTGTCCCGCGCCGTGAGTGTTCCCCGTTAAGAAGGTTCGTAATGTCAGATAGGGGGGAGGCAAATTAATGTGGCGGTTGACAGAGCAGTCGGTGGACACTTATTGCCTTGCTGTATGATCCCCGCCCCGGCCCACAATCTAAACGTCCTCAAAGTTGAAGATGTGTCCCATTTGCGCGGCATGGGTTGCAACCTCCGACTTTGGGTCCACCCTTCGCACGGCATATGCCACCAGGTAATCACATTTTCACTACACCTAGAGAGGCTTTAGAATGCTTAAAACGAATAAAAGCCTCCAGCCAAATTGATGGGCGGATTGAGGTGTCAAAAAGTTCATGGAGGTGAGGCATTTAGTGGTATTCCAATTATCATCTGAAATTACAAATGCCTCGAAATTATCGAATCAGAGCTCCGTCTATACAGAGAAGAGTATTAAAAAAACCGCGGTACCAATTAGGGGTTCTGTCGGCGTTTTATTCCTCTGAAGAGACCACCCATATATCGAAGCGACCATGCCGATATTCCTTTTCTTTTAATGCATCATTTTAACGGACGTTAACTGTCCAATAACCTTCACGTACATTTGGGGAATATTGTTGCTGTCCCGAAAGTCAAACAATAATGTCTACTTAAATGGTTTAAACCCAACAATGCCCTTAATTGGAAATTCCGCGAAGGCAAAATCCATGTACGGAACATTACGACACGAAAGTACAGTAGATAC